CTACCTCCAGACAACCTGAAGCAACATTCATATCAGAAGGTTTCAACAATTGGAAAAAGTCTGGAGATGAGTTCAAAAAGCATGATAAGAGTTCATATCACAGAGATGCCCTTGCAAAACACAAGAAACATGGTAATGACAGTGTCACAAGTTTACTTCTGGCAAAAGTTACCAAGGAACAGCAGTGCAGACGAAACCTGAGAGGTTCTGACATAGAGGGGTTGCCAACATGGTTATCTGAGAAAACATATATGTCACCTGCAATTGTGAATGAGCAATCGATGCTCCTGGGCCGAGCTGTGCGACTGAAGATTCTTGAAAGAATCAAAGCTGCCAGGTTCTTTGCCGTTATGGCGTATGAAACAAGAGACATCAAACAAAGAACAAGTTGTCATATGTATCCGTTGGGTGGATAATGATTTCAGTGTCCATGAGGATGCTATTGGCCTATATGAGGTTCCTTCCACAACATCAGCAACACTAACAGAAGTACTAAAAGACACACTTATCCGTTGTGACTTACCACTATCGAATTGCCGAGGTCAAGGCTATGATGGTGCAAGTAATTTTCAAGGCCATGTCAATGGAGTTGCTGTCCAACTGCAAGGAGAAGAACCACGAGCAGTTCATGTCCATTGCCTCACCCACTGTATCAACTTGGCTTTGCAAGAAGCCACTAGAGCATGCAAACCTCTCAGGGATGCTCTTGACATCACAATTGAAGTGAACAAGCTCATTAAATATTCTCCAAAACGAGAACACCTATTCAAGAATCTTCCAAAAGCTCTATCCATTGAGAAGCGTCTTGACATGGATGTGCCTCAAACTGAAAGAACTCGTGGCTTACGACCTCTGTGTCCAACACGTTGGACAGTTAGAACAGGATCTATCAACTCTGTTTTGGAGAACTTTGATACTCTTCGAAAAGCATTTGAAGAAATCAATAAGGGTCACGATGAGAATGCCAGGATTGAAGGTGGTTTACTTTCACAGTTTGACCAGTTTAGTGTGCCTTTTGGGCTGAAAGTTTCTTCCCAAATTTTTGGTGCATCAGAGCAATTGTCTTCCTCCATTCAAAGCGTAGAAACAACGGCAAAGGACGCACGAAAGGGAGCAGAGCAAGTACTGGCGTATTATGATAAGCTGAGGAGTACAGATACTTTTTCAGAGTTCTACAAGTCTGTTGTTGATGAAGCTGAAGACAAAACTGATCCTCCACGTCTACCACGCTACCGGAAGAGGCCCAAGAGATTGGATGATGGATCTAATACTCACACGTTCCCTTCTGTGGAAGATTATTGTCGCCAACAATATTTTGAAGGTCTAGACATCGTTTCAGAGCAACTAAAGCGGAGATTCTCACAGAAAGGATTTGAAACTGCTGTGGAGATAGAGCAACTGTTGCTGTCTGCTGCAAATGGACGGAACTTTCAAATATCTTCTCACATCAGAGAACTCTACAAAGATGATGTTGACTTTGTTCGATTGAACACACAGCTTTCCATGCTTCATGACACAGTGAAATCTGTCTCCACTGAAAGAGGATGCTTAATCACTGAAGTCACAAATATTGATACTGTTGTATCAATTATCAACTCATCGCCTGTAATAAGGCACCTGTTCAAGGAGATAAGCACCCTTTTGAAGATCTACTTGACTATTCCTGTCACCACAGCAACATCAGAACGTACCTTCTCCACGCTTCGACGCCTGAAGTCATACGTCAGATCTACAATGACACAGGAACGTCTGAACAACGTTCTGCTACTGCATGTCCACAAAACCATTGCTGATGAACTATCTCTAGTGGATGTTGCCCGGGAGTTCATTTCTTTCAATGACAGAAGACGCAACTACTTTGGACTTTTCTCATAAGAGATGAACATTTCGCGAGATGCACTAGCCTGTATAAACAGTCGATCTAGTGTTACCTGAATAATGTAATGCATTTGCTATTAATTAAAGTTTCAAGTGAACTCTGTCTGTCCTTTTCATATATCTCCTCTCTCCACCCCACCCCCCCCGTTATCAATTTCGAAATCTTGCCCCCAACTTTTAAACTGTTCCTACGCCTATGCGAGACAGTCTTGGATCCAATGACTGTAGCGCTGGCAACTTGGCCATCGTCCTTGGATCCGTCTGTGAAAATAGATCTATGGGTGTTATACTTCGAACGTAACTGGTTGTATTCCTGTTGGAACACCAAAGGATTTGGTGAAGAACTATTAAGACAAAAACGTATTGCTTCATGCATAACATTAAGTGCCTACTTTTATGGACAATTAAAAGATGTTTCGAGATAATATTTATATGAACAGTTTGCTTGTACCATAATGGTCATAGACATAAGTAGGTCTCCGTTTTAATAATATCTAATGATATACACATTCATGGTACACATCACATGGTACATGGCATCATGAGCCATTGGGATACGATGACTTGTGTCAACCAAGTCAGCGAGCCTGACCACCCAATCCCGTTACGAGGGGCGTTCAATATATTTTTCAAGTTCAATATAAGACCAAGTCGCAGAAATGTTTTTGGACTTTTATTTTTCGATATAATTCTGTTCACCTCAAAACACTTATTCCATTTGTCCTTCAAGCTTTTAATACCACTTTTATAGAAATCTGCAGATTGGCCCACTAGCCACGCCTCTGTGGCAGCCTTTATGTCCTCGTCATCCTGGAAGATTGCCCCACTAACCACGCCCCTGTGCCAGCCTTTATGTCCTCGTCATCCTGGAAGATTGGCCCTCTAACCACACCTCTGTATCAGCCTTCATGTCCTCGTCATCCTGGAAGATTGGCCCTCCAACCACGCCTCTGTGGCAGCCTTTATGTCCTCGTCATCCTGGAAGATTGGCCCACTAACCACGCCTCTGTGGCAGCCTTTATGTCCTCGTCATCCTGGAAGATTGGCCCACTAACCACACCTCTGTGTCAGCCTTTATGTCCTCGTCTTCCTGGAAGATTGACCCACTAACCACATCTCTGTATCAGCCTTCATGTCCTCGTCTTCCTGGAAGATTGGCCCACTAACCACACCTCTGTATCAGCCTTCATGTCCTCGTCTTTCTGGAAGATTGGCCCACTAACCACACCTCTGTATCAGCCTTCATGTCCTCGTCTTCCTGGAAGATTGGCCCACTAACCACGCCTCTGTGGCAGCCTTTATGTCCTCGTCATCCTGGAAGATTGGCCCACTAACCACGCCCCTGTGCCAGCCTTTATGTACTCGTCATCCTGGAAGATTGGCCCTCTAACCACGCCTCTGTGGCAGCCTCTATGTCCTCGTCTTCCTGGAAGATTGGCCCTCTAACCACACCTCTGTGGCAGCCTTCATGTCCTCGTCATCCTGGAAGATTGGCCCTCCAACCACGCCTCTGTGCCAGCCTTTATGTCCTCGTCATCCTGGAAGATTGGCCCTCTAACCACGCCTCTGTGTCAGCCTTTATGTCCTTGTCATCCTGGAAGATTGGCCCTCTAACCACGCCCCTGTGCCAGCCTTTATGTCCTCGTCTTCCTGGAAGATTGGCCCACTAACCACGCCCCTGCGGCAGCCTTTATGTCCTCGTCATCCTGGACGCGTCTTCCACGTTGGACAGATTTCATTTGCCGGAACAGGAAATAGTCACTCTGGGCTAAATCTGGGCTGTGGTGTGGGTGACTTAACTGTTCGAATCCACATTCACGGATGGCAGCCTGTACAATTCTCGACTTGTGAACCGGGGCGTTGTCATGCAAAAGTAGAACACCACGTGTTAACATCCCGCGGCGTTTCTGGCGAATAGATTTTCGCAAATCTTTCATTAAATTAGCATAACACTGTCTATTGATCTGTCATATGCCTATTGCATCCCCAAATATGGTGGCCATTACCTTGTCAGCCGATGGTTGAGTGCGAAACCTCTTCGGAGACGGAGAAGTATGATGCTCCCATTGCATGGATTCCAATTATTTAGTTTCTGGGTCCCAGTGGTGGATCCAAGTTTCATCACCTGTCGCTAGACGAGAAAGAAATCAGGCTTCATCATCAGTACATGTATATAGATCCAGGTGCTCTCGACAACGTTCAGCTCTGTGATGACGATCTTGGGCTCTGAGGTTTCTAGGTACCCATCTTGCAGATACTCTGGACATGCAAAGATACTCATGAATAATGGTTTCAACAGTTCCAACTGATATTTGGAATTCCGTAGAAAGTTCAGATACTTTTATTCATCGGTCAGACAAAATGCGGGCGGTGGGGTAGCCTCGTGGTTAAAGCGTTTGCTCGTCACGCGGAAGATCCGGATTCGATTCCCCACATGGGCACAATGTGTGAAGCCCATTTCTGGTGTCCCCCGACGTGATATTTCTGGAATACTGCTAAAAGCTGCGTAAAACCCAACTCACTCACTCACTCAGACAAAATGCTTCTTTCTACAGCGGCTATGGTTTCCGGTTGGATGGCATCTGAAGACCTGCCTGACGTTGGATCATCGTCTATGGACTCCCTAACCCTTTAAACTTTAGAGACCAACGGCCAACTGTGGAAAAGTCAGAAGCATTTACACATGCGATCATGGATTTCTTTTGCTTTGCATCCTTCCTTGGTAAGGAACTTTATTGCAGCGCGTTGTTCATGTTTGAGAAACTCCATGATTGTGACCACCCTTAGGTGAATGGAGCCATCATATCTCATTTATTATTGTGTCCGGAACTTGGTATGACACGTGTCACCTGATGTTATGACTAGTGTCACACCTGCCACAAGTTGACAGATTGTGTAAAAACATATACCCAAGTTGTAAACCTGATCGAACGCCCCTGGTAGTTCTCCCTACCGACAAGCATGGGATGCTGAAGACCAATTCTAACTCAGATTTTTGTACGGGGTTAACATATTTGTGAAGCTATGAGGAAGGTTAATGAATATATGGCACAGTCAGTCTCATGACATGGGTAGGAAGTAATCCCCAATGCCTTGATTGACAGTAACACAGAGCATGTAACCTGGTCTCTGCATAAGTCGTACCTGACAGAGAGAATTGTTACATGAAATACTATCAGTCATACGATACACGCACAGAGGTTAGTATCGACACTGTCAGACGGGTTAGATGCATTATTTAAAAATAGGTTTTGAGCTGAAAACCTTGTATTCATATATACATATTGACAGTACTGGGTGGCCTTGACTAGTTGAATACTGCCAAGCCAGTTGTCGACAATTTGTTTCGATTATATCATGTCGTTTGGCCACAATGTCAGAGGTGTCAATATTTCGCGCATCATTAAAAATGCTGACGTAGGCACTGTCTTCATCAGCTGATTAACACAAACAATACAACGCCAGTCCTTAAATATCGATGACAACAGGTGACCTCGACTAGATGAAACTTACCAAGCCAGCTGTTATTCATTTCCCCTGTGGACGACAGTATGTTGAGTGACAATGCTGTCAATCGAGCGGATCATATATAATAGGTTAGTACAGCAACTTTTACGCAGCAAAAGTGTTTTTCGCAGATTCTTACAGTTGAATAAACCAACAGAAAGCTGCAAAAACGAAGTGCATGCGTATATCTGTCGTAACGCTTTGCGGACAGGAAGGCAGGATAATACCGCTAAAAAATTCTGAAGATTCTTGATCACAACGTTAATAGTTCGCAAATACTTATGTGACATATTTGTGCGAAAAGAAGACATTAAAGAGATGGAATATTGTTAGAAGATAATGGAAAAGTTGAAATCATCCCTCTTGTGTTGCAGTCGTGTTGATAATTCTTCTGATGTTTTACCTGTATTGGCGTTTCCCGTCCCTATTCAAATACACAATGTAGCGTTTTTAAAACAAAAATTTTAATTCACATCTGTGACATTTATTGTATATATCACGGCACTATATTCCGTGGTGTAGTGGTTAGAGGGGTCCGCCCGAAGAGCGGAAGGTCGCGGGTTGGATCCCCAACCGCGTCATAACAAAAACCGTTATAATATGGTACTTGGTGGTCCCTGCCTGGCGCTTGGCATAACTGGGTACAACAAGGACTGGTCGCCTCGGAGTCAGTATAATGTGTCTGAGTGGGGTATTCATGCTTCACTGCGACATGGTATCTCATTGGTCTAGCACTATAAAACAAGCTTCAGTCTGGGCTAGTACAAGCAGCCGCACATACACATACACACGCATGCACGGCGTGATATGGGTTGCTGAAGAGTTTACAGTTCTAATCCGGATCTTCACGGGTCCATATTTATAAAGACATTTAATATGTTCCTTCGATGTCTTTCTATAATTCTCATAAATCTCTGTTGACTTGTGAAAAATAGTTATCATTGAACATTAGTAATAAGTGCGGGGCGGTGGGGTAGCCGAAAACCCGGGTTCGAATCCCCACATGGGCACAATGTGTGCAGCCCATTTCTGGTGTTCCCCGCCGTGATGTTGCTGGAATATTGCTAAAAGCGGCGTAAAACCAAACTCAGTCAGTCAGTCAGTCAGTAATAAGTACAAGCGGTTGTTTACATTATTTAGAACAACAACAACAAGCAAACAAACGTTTGACTTTGAGTTACGTGGAAATTCGAATGAAGAAATTAAATAACGGAAATATATAACAATACTGTGCGTATTTACTCAATGTACTTTTTCAGCTTGCGACCACAGTTACTTTTTAGAGAACCTTCTTCCTAACTGCAGTATGAGTGTTATAGTCAAGAACAGCTTCATTGAGAAATAGTCGGATGCGAAACATCCCACTTTGGTGACAAATCATTTCTGTATGTATCACTGTCTAATAGTAAAGATACCAGGTATTCGCGAAAATGTGAGCGTATCCTGCCCCACCGGTGGCACCCGTCATAAACATATGCAAAAGCTTGTCAACTGTTCACCTGAAAAAAATAGGGAACGTTTGGTATAAGTTAAAATATGGAATAGCATCGGACATAGTTTTTGTCACCGATGCAACAAACTTAGAAATTTCGTTTTGAAAGATTTGCTGAGGTCTTGAATGTTAACCTTGATCGAACAACTTCTGGGCACGTGTCGTATGACGCTCTTTGAAATCTTGGTTAAAGGAGCATGCTTGAATGTACCTCAAAAGTTGTGAAAAGTGAACACCAAAGGCTGGAGCTGTTGGAATATTGTGTGCACGAACGAACGCGCGGGCGCATGTAAATTCTTATTTAATTGTTTCTCAACATCTGTATCTAATGTGTGTAGACAATATTATTTTCCGAATACGAAACACACTACCATAATATCCTCTATGAGGAAATTATCACCTACATAGATTATCTTCTAATTATCTTCAAGGTAAATCTATTCTACATACATGATACATTTAATTTAGATCGTGGCGCTAATACGCTTCCATAGTTCGGAATATATTATCCAGAAATTGATCAGTGGTTAGATTATTTTAGTATCCGATCTATATGAACATCCATGTGTCCGTATCGTTTGTGTGTAGCAGGCAGACAAAGAGCAGTAACGCTGCAGTAATGGCTGCACAGAGAAGATTTACGTCCATGTCCACGTCCACGTCCACGTTCACGTCAACGTAGGGGAGCATGTTTAACCGTCATACCTCGGATAGAGGGTAGGTATTTCTGTCTCTCCCATATAATTCGAATCCCTCTCTCTTCAGAATTAGAAAATCACATCTTCGAATATGCTGAAATATAAAATTGCCCTTCCCGAAACTGTTTTAAGGGGGTCATTAATCTAGCTGAAATTGCAGGCTAACTTACATGACGAACATTCCTTGACTGATTGGTACAAAGGACAGAATAGACATTGGAATTATTTTAACCCCGACTACATAATTTGCATAAACCAACCGTATCATTAGGCTGTAATGGATCAAGATGAATAACATGTTTGTACTTGACCGTTGACAATCCGGGTTAGAATTGGTCAGTAACCCATGCTTGTCGTAAGAGGTGACTGACGGGATCGGGTGGTCAGGCTCGCTGAATTCAAAGACTTATTCAGTCCATGTCGAGGCGATGCAGAGCAGTTTTTTGAGATCATGATGCCCACAACAGATACTGGAACGGACGCCTTCACTTATTGAACCTTTTATAAACTATACATATTTATATATGTTTGATCTTCTATACTATGAAATTCTGATCCAGAATAACATGTGTTATTGCACTTTAAAGTTAGCAGATTAAATTCGCGTTTCCTTTTCAGAGAGTATAGTTGGGGTATCGGCGTGTGCGGCGATGATCATTAGAAATAGCAATGACATTATCACTAGAAAAAGACTTACTAGGGAGTAAGAGGCAAAATAGTAATGAAAAATACAGTAGAACACGGATATAACGAACTCCAAGGGACCAAGAAATTTAGTTCGCTATATCCGTTGTTCGTTATTCACATTTGACCGCCATCTTGGATTGTAGAGACATTCACAGACATTACCTATATCATGTTGATAAATATGAAGTTTATTTTTATAATAAAATTGACATAATGCAACTACAACTTAAATAAATTTATTTTTTAATGAAAATGCAAGCTTACATTTATAATGTCCAGATAAACCACGAAAGAAGCAAAAACTGTAGCGATTTTTTTTCCATTTGTGACATGTCATAACATGCCCGTGCCTTTTTCTTTTATATTTTCATTTTTATGTAATCAGGCTTTCCGTTCGTTAACATGACACAACAACGGGAAATACCTCCGTTTTCGAAGCTTCGTATGAATAACATGCGAGGCGAATCCTGTGGTGTCTGGTATCGTTCGTCAGCTCTGGAACATCTACAATATCACTGTACCCTCGCCGAGAGTATTTTCACAGTTGTAAAAAGCGATTTTATTGGATAAAGATTGGTTTCTAATGACGCTTTTTCGCCACAGTCTGCTATAAGGATGTAGTTGAATGGGTCATGGAAATCATTGACGAGAACCAATGGTTCAAGCATCTCCTGCTCTTCAAAACAACCGGCGCCTTTTTGGCGAGAACATGTTTGACTGTCGCTAAAGTCGCGCCGGCATCTCTGCTACAACCTAGTATGGCCGGTAAACAATCAAATCATTAATTACTGCAAAACGCAATATTGAAAAAACATCGAGTAAGTGAGTATGGGTTTACGTCGCTTTTAGCAATATTCCAGCAGAATCACGGCGAGGGACTCCCGGATCTTGTACCCATGTGGGGAATCAAAATACAATGAGAAAAGGCGCAAGTTATTTCTGCTAGTGCTGTCCAAATAGCTGAATTTTGGCCTACGGGGCTGGGGACTTTGTCTTTTGGAAATGCTATGGATGTTGAATTGATTCAGATATTCTCTCTTGTTGGATATACTCTGGATGGAAGGAAAATAGGGGATTTTAAAAATGACAAACGATTACAGAAAATTCGAAGATTTAGAGTATATAAGGCGACGGTTTGGCCCCGACTCGGAGTAAATATACGCGCGCACACGCATACGGACACGGACAGAGAGACCCCTTTCTTCCACCCAACCCCCCGAAACTCTTTCCTGGGAGCCCGAACGTGTTTTATAATTGGATCATGTAAAATATCCTGCAGTCTAAATTGTATTTCTTGTTCTGCATTCTGTGTTTCATTGTTATAACTCCAACAAACAAAATACAATATGTTATTGACATATTAACAGACAGATTGCTCAGGTGTATCCAAAACCTGAGGGAAGTTATAATATCGTTACGTAACATACAGCTGTGCATCAGAGTATGCTTGCACTCGGAAATCTGTCTCTTTGTGCAGTGATAACAGCAGTTATAAGTTGTGAATAACGCCTACATGTTGAACACATGGTAGTTTTGGAATAGAACGTGTGATTATAGGTGATTATACAGTGTGTATAAGCGCGAGGGCACTGAAGCGTACCTCCACTGTTATCGACCTATCTCCAGTATTGACTAGGTCGGACATGGTCTTTGAGATATTACATGACTGTTACTTGGATTCATTCTGCAGTGGTGTTTCGTAATTAACTCTCCGATGAGTTTTAATCTGTTTGTCCCAGGTACACCGTAGTTCTAAAAGTGTCTCTTGATTGTCTCCAATAGGTACTAATTCCACGTGTACCTAGCTCCCCGTTATGTAACAGTAACCCGTGTTTGTCCGACTACCGCGTGATTGTCCTTCTACCCCGTGTTTGTCCAAAAAACCCGTGATTGTCCCTCTACCCCATGATTGTCCCTCTACCCCGTGTTTGTCCAAAAAACCCGTGATTGTCCCTCTACCCCATGATTGTCCCTCTACTCCGTGTTTGTCCATCTACCCTGTGTTTGTCCCACTACCCTGTGTTTGTCCCACTACCCCATGATTGTCCCTCTACTCCGTGTTTGTCCCTCTACCCCATGATTGTCCCCCTACTCCGTGTTTGTCCAACTACCCCATGATTGTCCCTCTACTCCGTGTTTGTCCAACTGTCCCATGATTGTCCCCACTCCGTGCTTGATTGTCCCCATGATTGTCCAAATACCCCCTACTCCGTGTTTGTCCAAATACCCCCGTGTTTGTCCATCTACCCTGTGTTTGTCCCACTACCCTGTGTTTGTCCAACTACCCCATGATTGTCCCTCTACTCCGTGTTTGTCCAAATACCCCGTGATTGTCCCTCTACCCCATGATTGTCCCTCTACCCCTTGTTCAAATACCCTGTGATTGTTCCACTACCCCGTGATTGTCCCACTACTCCGTGATTGTCCCACTACCCTGTGATTGTCCCATTACCCTGTGATTTTCCCTCTACCCTGTGATTGTCTCACTACCCCGCGATTACTCCGTGTTTGTCCCACTTGTCGTTCTGTCTTATGCCTATCAGTTTGTGTTAGTGTGTAAATGACACCACACTTTCACCCCACATCGTTCTATCGTTTCAGATACTGATTACAACCAACAATGACCAGAGACAATCTGAACACTTCATGGCCCATGATTGTCCCTCTACTCCGTGTTTGTCCAAAAAACCCGTGATTGTCCCTCTACCCCATGATTGTCCCTCTACTCCGTGTTTGTCCAAATACCCCGTGATTGTCCCTCTACCCCATGATTGTCCCTCTACCCTGTGTTTGTTCCACTACCCCGTTTTTGTTCCACTACCCTGTGTTTGTCCCACTACCCCATGAATGTCCCACTACCCCTTGATTGTCCCACCACCCAGTGATTGTCCCACTAACCCGTGATTGTCCGACTAACCCGTGATTGTCCCTCTACCCCATGATTGTCCCTCTACCCCATGATTGTCCCTGTACCCCGAGCTTGTTCCACTAACCCGTGACTGTCCCCCTGTCCCGTGATTGTCCCACTACCCCGTGATTGTCTCACTACCGTGTGTTTGTCCAACTACCCAGTGATTGTTCCACTACCCTGTGATTGTCCCACTACTCCGTGATTGTCCCATTACCCTGTGATTGTCCCACTACCCTGTGATTGTCCCACTACTCCGTGATTGTCCCACTACCCTGTGATTGTCCCACTACCCTGTGATTGTCCCTCTACCCTGTGATTGTCCCACTACCCTGTGATTGTCCCTCTACCCTGTGATTGTCCCACTACTCCGTGATTGTCCGATTACCCTGTGATTGTCCCTCTGTTGTCCAATTACCCTGTGATTGTCCCTCTACCCTGTGATTGTTCCAATACCCAGTGATTGTCCCTCTACCCTGTGATTGTCCCACTACTCCGTGATTGTCCCATTACCCTGTGATTGTCCCACTACCCTGTGATTGTCCCACTACTCCGTGATTGTCCGATTACCCTGTGATTGTCCCATTACCCTGTGATTGTCCCTCTACCCTGTGATTGTCCCAAAACCAGTGCTTGTCCCTCTACCCCGTGTTTGTCCCACTACCCTGTGATTGTCCCTGTACCCCGTGTTTGTCCCACTACCCTGTGATTGTCCCTCTACCCCGTGTTTATCCAACTACCCTGTGTTTGTCCCACTACCCTGTGATTGTCCAACTACCCTGTGTTTGTCCCACTACCCTGTGATTGTCCCTCTACCCTGTGATTGTCCCTCTACCCCGTGTTTGTTCCACTACCCCGCGATTACTCCGTGTTTGTCCCACTTGTCGTTCTGTCTTATGCCTATCAGTTTGTGTTAGTGTGTAAATGACACCACACTTTCACCCCACATCGTTCTATCGTTTCAGATACTGATTACAACCAACAATGACCAGAGACAATCTGAACACTTCATGGCCTTCTCACACATAGACTCGTCCCTGGTGACTCAAAACGACTTTCCGGAACCGGAAATACATAAACAATGGCGCATCGTTGTATCAAAAGGTCGAGTTTGTAGCTGTCGTGAAATAACGCTGTCCCATGCCTTGATATAGAGACAATACCACCAAGAGACCTCCTATAGATAAACACGAACTGTTTATATAACCTCTGTATTTTAAACACTGTACACTGACTGCAGCCGAGAGACGATGAAGATATACACAAACTTGTTCTTGTTTAACATCGTAAACTGACTGCAGCGAAAAGACGTTGAAGAGATTTACGCCAACCTTTGCATGTTAAACATCCTATACTGACTGCAGCGAAAAGACGTTGAACAGATTTACGCCAACCTTTGCATGTTAAACATCCTAAACCTACATCTATCGTTGGAAAAGAGGCAGATAAAATACACGCTATATGAATTCACCTGTATTGTTATGTGTACTGAAAAACTTAAAAAATATAATCCAAGAGGGAACCCAAGAAAGTGATCGTGAAGATAACCGGTCTCCAAGACAGTGATCGTGAAGATAACCGGTATCGAAGAGAGTGATCGTGAAGATAACCGGTATCCAAGAGAGTGATCGTGAAGATAACCGGTATCCAAGAGAGTGATCGTGAAGATAACCGGTCTCCAAGAGAGTGATCGTGAAGATAACCGGTATCCAAGAGAGTGATCGTGAAGATAACCGGTCTCCAAGAGAGTGATCGTGAAGATAACCGGTCTCCAAGAGAGTGATCGTGAAGATAATCGGTCTCCAAGAGAGTGATCGTGAAGATAACCGGTCTCCAAGAGAGTGATCGTGAAGATAATCGGTATCGAAGAGAGTGATCGTGAAGATAACCGGTATCCAAGAGAGTGATCGTGAAGATAACCGGTCTCCAAGAGAGTGATCGTGAAGATAACCGGTCTCCAAGAGAGTGATCGTGAAGATAATCGGTATCCAAGAGAGTGATCGTGAAGATAACCGGTCTCGTGAAAATAACCACCATAATGTTTATTAAACATCCCAAACTCCAGTTCGGTATTGGCCTGACTCTAGGTTTCCTTTTATCAGTAATATTCTTTCAATCTGGAATTGTCTACAGACCACGTATGCGCATCCCTCAAACGCTGATCACTGGTCACGTGATCGGGATATCCGAGATGGACACTGTGGAACATGGACCCCACGGTGGACGGATCAACGATTCCCACGTCCACCACGGTAAGCCATCAAGAAATACTTTCAACACGTGGGGCCAAGCACAGATTTCTAAATAATTGCAGGGTGGTGGGGTAGCCTGTTTGTTAAAGCGTTAGCTCGTCACGTCGATGACCCGGGTTCGATTCCCCACATGGGTACAATGTGTGAAGCACATTTCTGGATTCCACCGCCGTGATGTTGCTGGAATATTGCTAATAGCGGCGTAAAACTTCACTCACTCACTCAATCTAAATAACTGCACATATATCGTGACGTGCACATGTGTGTGACTTAGTTGTTGTGAGTTTAGGTTAACACCGCTTTTAGCAATATTCCAGCAATATCGGGGGTAACCAGAAATGGGCTTCGCACATTCAACCTTTTTAAGGAATCGAACCCGGGTCTTAGACCTGACGGGAGACGCTTTAACCACACGGCTACCCCACGAGAGACAATATCGCTGGATACCCAAAACAGGCATATTAAAGTGACCCCGAGTTGACCAGTCCTTGTTTAACCCCTTAGGCAGGATAACAACAAGTGCCATCTTTTAACGACATTTTGTACGACGTTACCATGGAGCCGAACAGCCGACATATAACTGAAGTTACACAAACATTAAACTGACATGTGATAGAGCTGAAATGCTGTTAAACCCAACAAATTCACTCAGTTTTAAATTCACGAAATGAAACAGGTGGAGGGACAAAAACAAACTGGGTGTATCATCTGAATGAGTGAGTGAGTGGGAATAGTTCGCTTTTGTCAATATTCCACTAGTAACACCAATATTAGGCTTAACATATTCTCCGAACCCAGGTCCAGGAGACGATTGAACGCTTTAACTACTCAGCTATCCCATCGCCACTCATATCTGAATGGCTTTGTAAAGGTGATTGCACACATTTTCCATACACAAGATGCGATATATTATTTGTCTCTTGCAGACGACACTTCCGTAGCCGATAAAATGGCCCAACAAGTCCGCGTGCTCTGCTGGGTTATGACGTCACCGACCAACTTCCGGACCAAAGCGGATGTTGTCAAGGCAACGTGGGGACACCGCTGCAACATCCTCCTATTCTTCAGCTCCGTGGTGGACCCCCACCTCCCGACGATCGCGCTCAACGTTTCTGAGGGCCGGCAACACTTGACAGCCAAGTCAATGCACGCGTTCAAATATGTCTACGACCACTACTACGACCAAGCCGACTGGTTCATGAAGTGCGACGACGATACGTACGTCATTGTAGAAAATCTACGATATTTTCTGTCCACGAAAAACACGTCTGATCCTTTCTTCTATGGCCACCATTTCAAGCCCATAGTGAAGCAGGGCTACTACAGCGGAGGTGCTGGCTACGTGTTGAGCAAAGAGGCACTGACAAGGTTTGCTCAAAGAGACCCGGATATTTGTCGGAAAGACGGAGGGTCTGAAGACGCCGAGATTGGGAGATGTATGGAAACACTAGGAATTAGGACCGGCAACTCTACCGACGCTCTTGGTAGATCTCGCTTCCACTGCTTCCCGCCAGAGGCACACGTGAACGGAGGGTTCCCCAAGTGGTACTACACCTACGTGATGGGTGGTGCTAAGCAGGTCAGTAGGAGGTCGTTGACCTGTTGAAGTATGACAGGCTATTACACCATGAGTGTCATTGGTATATCGTGTATATCTGGATCGTATAAAACTTCTCCATCAGGTAGAGGATTAAGGGGAGATAACTCTCTGAACAAACAAATACTTTAGGATCATTATCTGAAGTGTGAAGCACACAACTTAGAACTCAAGAAAGTCATTCATGACAGGTTATGAGTGCAATAGGTATATCGTGTATCTGGACTGTATAGAACATTACCTCTCAATCAGTTTCAAGATTAAAGGAGATAACTCTCTGAACAACCAAATACTTTTGGATCATTATCTGAAGTGTGAAGCCCAGTTCTGATGATAAAAAACTTAGTTTTGGCTCATTATATGATGTGTATTTTTTGTTCAGCACACAGTTTAAAATATCATAAAAATTATTCATGATCCGCGACATCTTTTTCAGTTTATGTAAATGGATTCGGGATAAATATATTGCTTGTCGTAAGATGGGATGAACAGAATCGGTTGTCAACCTCGTTCGATTCCGCACAGGGGTACACTCTGTAAAGAGAGCGTTCTCTGCGCCTTTGCGCTGCTTGATATAGCCAAAATCAGCCTAAAACATGGGCGGATCCAGGGGGGTGGGGTGGGGGGTGTTGTTCAGGGGTTCGACCCCCCCTCCTCTTTGAATATGACTTAAGACCACATTGACGATTTTTTTTTTGCGTTGGCGGAGCCAAGGGGGGAGGGGTTTCAGGGGGTTCGACGCAAGAATTTCCGAGAAAACGTTTACTAATGGATGGCTGAGTTTCGTTTTACGCCGCTTTTAACAATATTCCTGCAATATCATGGCGGGGGACACCAGAAATGGGCTTCACACCATGTGGGGAATCGAACCCGGGTCTTCGGCGTGACGAGCCAACGCTTTAACCACTAGGCTACCCCACCGCCCCTTTACTAATGAAGGGAAAATAAGTAAGCATACTTTAATCATCAAACAAAAGTTAGTCCTTTTGTATTGACAGATATCGTGATTCGGCACTATTCAGAGTTAAACATCGATATATCGTAGCCCATTTAAAGTATCGTATCAGGATATACGACATTGTAAAACTTCATTGTATCGGCGGCCCATGGATCGATGCGTATCGATGAATCGTCACACCACTAGATACAGCTATATATAATATTGCTCCCTCACTAATATACTCGAGCTGTCTCTCCTTTGGGATGTCAGAAAAGATGACTAAATAAGATGTCGTTGTCTAGTGTTGGCGATGTGGGGGTTTGGAGGGGTTGTTGTATCAGAGAATGTGATATTCCTGGAATATTGCTAAAAGCGGCGTAAAACTGAACTCACTCACTCTGCATTATTGCAGTGATATAGCAGGTACTTATAACATAAGAAATGTAAATTAAGCAGATCACTGGGTTTAGTACTTTGTTGTTTTACGCCCCTGTGTGAACTTGTTACGAATGCTAGTAAATACTTTATAGATAATGGAGATTTAGGTTTAGATTCCTGTCTACAGTGACCTCATTGACTATAGTGACCTCATTGACTAAAGTGACCTCATTGACTATAGTGCCCTCATTGACTATAGTGACCTCATTGACTATAGTGACCTCATTGACTATAGTGCCCTCATTGACTACAGTGACCTCATTGACTATAGTGACCTCATTGGCTATAGTGACCTCATTGACTATAGTGACCTCATTGACCTATCAACCCGTGAAGATCCGAGTTAGAACTGGTCTTCAGTAACCCATGCTTGTCGTAAGGGGCGACTAACGGGATCGGGTGGTGAGACTCGCTGACTTGGTTGACACGTCATCGTATCCCAGTTGCGTAGATCGATGCTCATTGCTATTGATCACTGGATTGTCTGTCCCAGATTGGATTATTTATCTTATTTCGCCGCCATATAGGTGGAATATTGCTGAGTGTGGCGTAAAACTAAACTCACTCACTCATTGACCTATTTATTAGATTGTGACACCTAGTTTATTAGTTGTAGTTATGAAATCATTCCAGCATATGACGATAGTCTATAAATATTAGAGTCATGTGATTGATATCATGAGAATTGATCTGAGCACATGGGATACGATGACATGCATCAACCTTGTCTGCAAGCCTTGCCTCCACAACCCCTCCATTCCTCTTGGATCGATTGTCATCAGTTGTACGTCCGGATTGTTTGGTCCAAACTATTTACAGTTCATTGTCATGTTTCAAAGATCGAATTTCTTAACAGATTGATGATTTGTGTTTCAGGGTATTGAAAATATCAGCGATTACGCAATCTCCTTCCATTACATAAATCCGAGTTACATGTTGAGTCTGGAGTTCTACGTTTACCATCTCCGACCGTATGGGATCAGAACAGAAAACCAGGCTCTAAACTAAGTCACGGGTCTCTTGAGTCTCAGGCTGGTGTCGTCCTCAAGTAACCTTTGGGAGTTACCGCCCCTGTTGCTTTGACAACAAGGCGTGCCGGGGTGGTGAATGATATGTAACGTGGTTCTGGTTACCTCGCAGATGGAACGCCACATTAATTGAGAAAGACAGGACCTCCTTGTGAATCTGACTTCAGGAGAATTGCATGGTCATGTATCTTAAACAGTCTGACACACTGACCATAGTCATTATAATTTTGCGAGTTTACTTTGGGGGGAGGTCGGCCATGGCTTCCTGCGTCAAAGGGACACAACTCTCATCTCACGTGACTAAACTTCCCGGTGTTGTCAGCTGGCGCTCGTGTCTCGCTACGTGAAGCATCAATGACAAAGGCTCCAGTATGAAGAACTTTGAATGTAACCATGCATGTATTTGATATTGAACATAAAGTGGGTGATGAAATTCGTGGTAATAGTAATGTCTGATAGATCCTCGGAATGTGTGCTCGTTGGAGTAAAACCTTGGCAGCATAAAAATGGTAACGGCTGTTGATACCATGGCAACCAGGGATTCCAGCTGTGCTAGAACGGATTAAAGACAAATGTACTGTTGTTGATATATTTGTGGGTTCATAGGACACTGTACAGTATCCATGGCTAGGGGGTGGAGGTGGTGGTGGTGGGGTGGGTGGTGGTTTGGGTTTGATGATGATTTGGATGAAGGGCATGTACAATGTGAATGCCCATTACACACACACACACACACACACACACCACCCCCAATATTTATGTACAAACTAAGTAGTGACCCCCCTGCATGTCATGTCATTTGCTTTCAAGATAAGTGAAGCCCGACTGGGGTTTTACCAATTTTGGCTTTCCCCAAAATTCTTTCTATAGTGTTTGGAGGGTACATCTCTAAGTACTATGACAAATGAACTGAACCACCTTTCAGCGGGAGACAATAGGGCGATACCTGTTTATAAAATGTATATCTTCAAATAATAAAATGCCAAATTGAGCCCAGAATAAATGTGTACAACAGAAGAAAACTAGACTTGCCAAATAATTATCCCCCGCAACGCGTTTTGCGGGGGGTATTAAAATGGACTCCGTGCGTCCGGCCGTCCGGCCGTCCTTCCGTGCACATTTGTCTTTTCCGGAGCAGAACTCTAAAACCGTTCAATATTTCTTCACCAAACTTGGCACATAGATAGATCTGGTGGAGTTCTGGTGCCTTTTGGTAGTTTTGGAATTCTGAATATTTAAACATTTTTGGCGTTCCATGGCAACAAGTTCGACTAAGCCTGAAATTGGTGGTAGTGCACTTTTCCGGAGCTGAACTCTAAAACCGTTAACTATTTCTTCACCAAACTTGGCACATAGATTGGTCTAGTGGTGTACTGGTGCCTTTTGGTAGTTTTGGAATTCTGAATAAAACATTTTTGGCGTTTCGATGGCAACAAGTTTTGACTTAGCCTGAAATTGGTGGTAGTACACTTTTCCGGAGCTGAACTCTAAAACCGTTAACTATTTCTTCACCAAACTTGGCACATAGATAGATCTGGTGGTGTACTGGTGCCTTTTGGTAGTTTGGGAATTCTGAATAAAATATTTTTGGCTTTAACTTGGCAACAAGTTTGACTTAGCCTGAAATTGGTGGTAGTGCTCTTTTCCGGAGCAGAACTCTAAAACCGTTCACTATTTCTTCACCAAACTTGACACATAGATAGATCTGGTGTTGTTCTGGTGCCTTTTGGTAGTTTTGGAATTATGAATAAAATATTTTTGGCGTTTCCGTGGCAACAAGTTTGACTAAAACAGAAATTAGTGGTAGTGCACTTTTCCGGAGCAGAACTCTAAAACCGTTCAATGTTTCTTCACCAAACTTGGCACATACATAGATCTGGTGGTGTACTGGTGCCTTTTGGTAGTTTTGGATTTCTGAATATATTATTTTTGGCATTTCCGTGGCAACAAGTTTGACATAGACTGAAATTGGTGATAGTGCTCCTTTCTGGAGCAAAACTTTAAAACCTTTCAATACTCTCCTTCCACTTTTCTATATACACACCTAAATATTTGACATAATCATAACTCGTAGACATAATCATGAAGAGTATTTTGCCATTGCGGGGATATTGATGACTTTGTCTTCTTGTTTGAAACTTAATTCTAATTCAATTTAAAACAAGGGTCCATCTATTAAAGCCAGTATAAACAAACATTCATTTTTCATCATTTTTTTTACCTATGATTATTCTGTACCGTTAGATAGATTTCTGGTTCGTCACAACTCTTTTCGTTCATTCTTTTACTGCCTATAACCCATCCTCTACTATCAAATGCACGGTTTGGCCTATGTCTTTCTGTGAACTGACAATCTCGGTCAATGAATACATATGAATTCGATTCATGATAGGGCTGGGACGGGTACTCGGGTACTCGAATCCGGGTCGGGTACACCTGGAATCGAGTCCTATTTCTAGGAATCGAGTACCCGGAAAGGGAGAGAACTCTGTAATGACAAGGGCAGATAATAAATTGTCTTTTTCATAATTGACGTAACACACAATTACATCATTGGTATTGTCCGATTAATGAAGGTTATTATTAACGACTGTAATTTATCTACGCGTGAGCGGCGGGAACGAAAAGTTCTGTGAAATAAAACACTATCTTTATACATATATTTGGCTCGTTTTCTCATTAGGTGTGCTCTCATTCGCATAATCCGGAATATCCTCTTCTATCAACACGTAGGCCCATCATTGTCTCTATAATCCAATGTGAAATGGCTAAAGGACGGGATATCGACCTTTTTTCTTAACTCATCCGTTTGGACCAAAGGTCGATAGAGGGGAGTTTCCATGTATATTCTCACGCCATTATCTGGATAAAAGTTACTACAACCAGGTGAATAGAAGTATATATGCATAGTGACAAGCAGCAAATTAACAACAACAGGTACTTCAGCAAGTAGCACATCGTTGAGGTCAACAGGAGAGTAAGATCAACAAGTCGAAATCCACTCCATTATCCAAGTGATGGAATCAATCAACATTCAAACAGCTTGTTTATTCTGAACGATGTACATCGGAATGCCGTTCTATGCAATAAACAAGGGAGTTGTTATCACGTAAGTGGTATGTTTCGTTATGTATCCCCATATTGTTTACTGCAGTATAAGTGAGATCTGCTTCAGTTTGCGAATGACCAATCTTTTGAAATTGATTTAAGTTCTACAGATTGATCTCAGATTAAAACATCTCATCCAAATTCGTGTTTTCTATTTCAGGTACTAAGAAATACTGAATTTTTACATTTTAGATATAAATCTATCGGTACCAGTTTGACGTGTCTGGTCATGAGTTAACTAACATAGTGATTATGTATTTTTACCGTTACATGTGTCATAAACACGTCATTTATGCCATTATAATGTTCTCTGATCCATTTCATCATACAGCATTTATTTCATTCAATGTTTTGAAGCTCATATGATAACATGAAAAATGTTACTGTTCCAGTTCCTTTTGAAGCGAGAAATTATTTTTGTTCCTCAAGTGTTCCAACCAATATAGTCATGGTTACAAACGGCTTGATTTTAATACCTATCAAGTTAGATGTTATACACGAGTGCATGCACACAAACCCACACAAAACATCTGTAATTTGTGAATTCCGTTCGGACGATAAAGAAATATCTAATTTGATAAGAATCACTATATAAATTATCTTCCCTTACTCTGAGAGAAGCATGGCATTATTCCTTCATTTTTTAATAATTTTATCTGCATAAAAGAAGGTATTATCAAAAATGTGAAACAAACTTCCGTATACTACCATTTCACTCACATTGCGATATTGACCATGGAATAATGTTAAGTTCAGTTTGATTTCAATGTCATAATATGTGAGGTTCCTCATTCACACATACATACAAACTGACAGCATAACACAAAACAATATGCAACCAACCAAATTCAATACAATACAACTTTCACCGCCTGTGCATACAACACTGTTAACGAATCTCTCAGGTGTGTTAGAGCGATAATCACATCGAGACATGATTAACAAACCTACAGCTCAGTGGATTTTAATAACTTACCTTTTTAATAAGAAAAGCAAGATTTATGGATGTCAACTTCTTTATTGTGAATAACACGATGTTTCGGAGCATAACCTTGCTCCTTCATCAGGTGAAAATCAGGTCACAGTAAGGAAGTTGACATCCATAAGTCTTGCTCTTTGTATGCATTCCACTTCTAAATGGCCATCAAAGATATAACTTACTTCCAGAGGCTTCTTTAAGAGGCATAAAAACTTGCAACTTGGTTTTCCTTCCAGAGGCTGTCTAAACTGACTTCACTCACTCATTAATTTAACAAGGCAGTAGGCCTTGTTAATTGGTGACTCTTAACTGCCTTGACTTACTCATCAGTTAACAAGGGATTAGGTCCTGGGCGTGCAAAGAACAATCATTTACCATCACCCACAAGTTATCCCCCCTTGTGGACATTTCCAAAATTGTAAATTTTTGGACATCTCGTATTTCCAAAATTGTAAATGTCTTGGAAACATCATCTTTCCAAAATTGGAAATGTCTTGGAAACATCATCTTTCCAAAATTGGAAATGTCTTGGAAACATCATCTTTCCAAGACATTTCCAAGCTTGTAAATGTGGACTTTTTTTCCAGTGTAACGAGGAATGTAAGTAATGCTGATACTCTTTATATTGGTTAAATAGACGTAAATTAAATAGCCTAAGATCTGTTTTAATGTCTTATTGCCATTCTTTCAAGTTTCTATAATAATCTCTGTCAACCCGTGATTGAATTTTCAGACAGTTGACAGAAGCGCTGTATTCCTTACATTTCCGGGTACTCGATTCCGATTCGGGTAAGCACATGCGGGTACTCGATTCCATTTATTCCTACCCGTCCCAGCCCTAATTCATGATTCGATGACCACCTTGGGGCGAATTGGTCCAGGAATATTTTGCCCCAAACGACTTGTCTTCGTCAATGAATTTGCATGAATTCGATACACGATTGGATGATTTGGCTAAAATACCCTGTGGGTAAGGTTAGTTGGTCCTGAATATCGGTGTACCAGCTGGTATACACTGCCAAATTGATGAAGCCCGGAGGCAGGAGTGAGTGAGTTGGGTTTTACGCTGCTTTTAGCAATATTCCACCGTCCCGAGGGCGAGGATGGAGAGGTCGATATACCCCATATCCAACATCTGTAATAAAACCTCATTATCGACAAGGCGTGCTGTGATGTAGCAGCGCCTAGGAGGTGGTGACGCTATCTGCTTACCCTGGGTTACGTCAGTGTGTTGATTATACCGAACCAAATGACACACAGATGCTACGTTGCAGAATTATCTTTTGATATTATGCTTTCCGCTTATAACGTACACAACAATGTGTATGTTACACGAGTTATCGCACGTGCATGGGTAATATAACACATGCATAATGTTGGAAAATATAAGGGATCAACTGAGTGTAAAATCCATGGTCTTCATCTGGATGTTTGTTTTTCAGCATTATAACATGCAACAGTGATCATTGCGGTTGTAACCACTGTGACAACCATGGAAGACGCAGAGACACATGAGACAGCTTTAGTTCTGGATCTTGATGACAGGGGAAAGCTTTGGATTTGGATCTTGATGATAGGTGAAAGCTCTGGATTTGGATCTTGATGACAGGGGAAAGCTCTGGATTTGGATCTTGATGACAGGGGAAAGCTCTGGATTTGGATCTTGATGACAGGGGAAAGCTCTGGATTTGGATCTTGATGACAGGGGAAAGCTCTGGATTTGGATCTTGATGACAGGGGAAAGCTCAGGAGTTGGATCTTGATGACAGGGGAAAGCTCTGGATTTGGATCTTGATGACAGGGGAAAGCTCTCGATCTGGATCTTGATGACAGGGGAAAGCTCTGGATTTGAACATTGACGGCAGGGGAAAGCTTTGGATTTGGATCTTGATGATAGGTGAAAGCTCTGGATTTGGATCTTGATGAGAGGTGAAAGCTCTGGATTTGGATCTTGATGACAGGGGAAAGCTCTGGATTTGGATCTTGATGACAGGGGAAAGCTCAGGATTTGGATCTTGATGACAGGGGAAAGCTCTGGATTTGGATCTTGATGACAGGGGAAAGCTCTCGATCTGGATCTGGACGATAGGGGAAAGCTCTGGATTTGGATCTTGATGACAGGGGAAAGCTCAGGATTTGAACATTTACGGCAGGGGAAAGCTTTGGATTTGGATCTTGATGAGAGGTGAAAGCTCTGGATTTGGATCTTGATTACAGGGGAAAGCTCTGGATTTGGATCTTGATGACAGGGGAAAGCTTTGGATTTGGATCTTGATGACAGGGGAAAGCTTTGGATTTGGATCTTGATGACAGGGGAAAGCTCTGGATCTGGATCTTGATGATAGGGGAAAGCTCTGGATTTGGATCTTGATGACAGGGGAAAGCTTTGGATTTGGATCTTGATGACAGGGGAAAGCTCTGGATTTGGATCTTGATGACAGGGGAAAGCTCTGGATTTGGATCTTGATGACAGGGGAAAGCTCAGGATTTGGATCTTGATGACAGGGGAAAGCTCTGGATTTGGATCTTGATGACAGGGGAAAGCTCTCGATCTGGATCTTGATGACAGGGGAAAGCTCTGGATTTGAACATTGACGGCAGGGGAAAGCTTTGGATTTGGATCTTGATGTTTGTTGAAAGCTCTGGATTTGGATCTTGATGACAGGGGAAAGCTCTGGATTTGGATCTTGATGAGAGGTGAAAGCTCTGGATTTGGATCTTGATGACAGGGGAAAGCTCTGGATTTGGATCTTGATGACAGGGGAAAGCTCTCGATCTGGATCTGGACGATAGGGGAAAGCTCTGGATTTGGATCTTGATGACAGGGGAAAGCTCAGGATTTGAACATTTACGGCAGGGGAAAGCTTTGGATTTGGATCTTGATGAGAGGTGAAAGCTCTGGATTTGGATCTTGATGACAGGGGAAAGCTCTGGATTTGGATCTTGATGACAGGGGAAAGCTTTGGATTTGGATCTTGATGACAGGGGAAAGCTTTGGATTTGGATCTTGATGACAGGGGAAAGCTCTGGATCTGGATCTTGATGATAGGGGAAAGCTCTGGATTTGGATCTTGATGACAGGGGAAAGCACTGGATTTGGATCTTGGTGATAGGGGAAAAGTCTGGATTAGGATCTTGATGACAGGGGAAAATTCTGGATTTGAATCTTGACGGCAGAGGAAAAGCTCTCAGTTTGGATGAAGCTGGCAAGTGAAAGCTTTAGATTAGGATCTTGATGGTCACTTCTTGCAAGTACAGCTTAATTACATGCACTACATACCTGTGCTTCCCGTGAATGTTTGGACATGGTTCAGGTGAGCTAAGACGGCTTCATCCATCTATATGCATTGATACTCCCAGTATATGGAGCCCCTGTCCATCATGAGTATGAGAATACCAACCACTAATCTCTAGGCGTCTGGTATACCACTAGGCATCCGGTATACCACTAGGCGGCCGGTATACCACTAGGCGGCCGGTATACCACTGAATCTGTCTTGGGTCCATTTGATGAATTCGTGGGTCGTATTAGACTACACATCTGGTACATGATACATAAGAGTGGGATTATATTATTTGTCACTCTGAGAAAAATAACCGAAGGGAGTAAAAATAAATGGACCAAAAAAAAATCAATATTGAAATATTGGCATCCATCGCATGACATCCCGCGTACAAAAATGAGCTTGGCATCTTCACGAGTTTTACCTCACAACCTATGCCAGGATCCTTCTATGTTCTAATTAGAAGGCGGATTAAACCTCCATGTCAAGTCTCATTTTCTTTCCCGGAACCCTTGCTTTTGGAGTAAGTGAATTTAGTTTTACGCCGCCCTCAGCAATATCACGGCGGGGACACCAGTAGTGGGCTTCACGCACTGTACCCATGTCGGGCATCGAGCCCGAGTTTTCGGTATGACGACCGAACGCTTTAACCACTTGGCTACCCCATCGCGCCACTGACCCATTGGTTTTGGAAAACAGAGCGTCTCTACATTCGGAAAATCAGGGACCCTAAAAAAATATTTAGGTCCGCGAGAAAAATGACTATTCTCCCCAACTGTACGATAACAAATATATTCACACACTGGATGCGCACGCTGACCAATGACACGTTCAATATATGTGATAGGGGTTCTTGGATATAAATAAGTGAAGTCGATCTATTATCAGGGAGATTTTACGTACGTTTTATGCCCACATACTGTGTAACCAGTGCCAGGCCCAAGGTCGGGGGACTAATGATTCCACGATATCGACCACGGGCATATGTAGCAGTACACACACAAAAAGCTGATACATCTCACTCGAAGGACACATAGGACAATAACATATTGTTATTTTTGCAAACTAGTGTATCAATATTTCCTGAGTGAGTGAGTGAGTGAGTAAGTTAAGTTTTACGCCGCTTTTAGCAATATTCCAGCAATATCGGTGGAAACTAGTAAGTAGTAATGGGCTTCACACATTGTGCCCATGTGGGAAATCGAACCCTGGTCTTCTACGTGACGAGCGAACGCTTTAACCACAAAGCTACACCACCGCCGCGATATTAACTGGCCTTGTACACAAACAATATTTTGAGCTAGGCTGTAACATAAAGTTCAATGTGATTAATAACAGATTTATGTTTTGATATGATCTGGATATCAGAATTTTCAAAACATATTGTCATATTCGCTGTGCGGTGTACGTGCATTGTTGAGCCTTGGATAAATCAGCTGACTTGATAAGAAACGTCTGACAGTTTCAATCCCACATGAGGAGAGAACTCCCGACCAATGAAAATAGTTTTAAGTGTTTACGGAGCGTCTGCTAGCGGCGTAGTAATTTTAGGAAATACAATCCATGCAGAAGAACGTTTTATCATGAACTCAAATATCATTTGTATAAGGAAATATATACTATTCTTATATCTCAAAACGTTTAATATATACTTTCTCTTGGAGTTTGAAATGAACACTTCTATCAGTAGAGAACTACTTTGTCGGAAGCGTATCCGGGTCCGGTGTTGTCAGGCCCTCGGCTGTTTTCAACATGCAAGGCAAAGAATCGTGCAGTTAATGTGACATCTCATCCGATTATCTGTCAATACATAGAGGTGGCCAGCCACAAGGCAGCTGAGATATTACAGCAATGGCGACCGAGGATACAATGTCGATGGTTGGTGGTGTCATTGAACACATGAAGGAAATCAACTCAGCGACGGCCGCTCTGATAACAACGACGGTGGTACTGAGTGCCCTAATGGCAATGAGGGCTTTAATCGAAAAGAAACAGGTAATTTAAAAATATTAAAATTTTCAAGTTGTCGTTTTTTCAATGACTGGGACTTGTCAGTGTCTTCTTCGACTCCGTCACGGAATTTGTTTTAGTAAGCACGCAGTGTCCCCACTCAGTCGATGTACCCTATAAATCGTTTGGCTGTATAGTTCACGTTTGTCTGTTAAAAAGGGTGACAGTAACTGTCAGACTAACTGTCACACCACATACTGATATTAATCAGTGAATGCTAACCTTTGGCAAACATTTGTCATGGTTTTGATCACTTCTGAAATTGTTTACTTTACTTTACCATGTACAAGAAGTGTCAATAATTTTGCAAACACATCAGATATGGGTACTGATGCTAAGATTTTACTTAAATTTAATGCGTCAGAAACATTTACATTTGTTAAGCTTACCATGGCAATGAACATTATATGATGTGACATGATGGAATGTTTACTCAGGATAACATTCCTACTTGTGATGATTTCAGGAGAACCTGCCACCTCATATACCTTCCGTAATACCGTTTCTGGGTCAAGCTGTCAGCTTTGGACAAAGTCCCATAGAGTTTCTTGTAGCAGCCTACAAACAAGTAAGTTCTACGGTCATAGATTCCAGTACCCGTAGTAAGGATGAGTGTAAATTGATAAACTCTGCATCATACTAGCTATTTCACAGCAGCCTGTAAATGATAAAGTCTTGACCAGACACATGTGAAACTGAAAGGTTGGTTTGTTGTTAAACGCCCCACTCAGCAATATTCCATCTATATGGCGGCGGTCTTTACATAATGAAGTCTGGACCAAACAATCCAGTGATCAAAAGCATGAGCATTGGTCTATGCAATTTGGATATGATGACGTATGTCAACTGTGTCAGTGAGCCTGACCACCCGATCCCCTTAGTCACCTCTTACAACAAGCATGAGTTTCTGAACATCAATTCTAACCCGGATATTCATGGGTCTAACTGAAAGGATGAGCATTGATCCACATCAACATGGCATGATTTAATTTAATTAGCCAAGTCAAAATACATTCTGACCCACTGTTCCAGACGTTACCTGGTTTCTATATCAAGAGTTATGTGTGGAGAATTAATTCTGAGCTTAAATCCCAGAGGATAGTTAGTCACTAGTGTGAGATTGACCCCTGGAGATACTGGAGTAGAAGAGGTCCACAGCAACTAGTGGTTGTTGTAAGAAGGAACCTAATAGATCTAATAGATCTAAAGGATCTAATAGTCCTCCTTGATGGCAAGGTTGATTTACAGGTCATGAATCCTGATGGCAGGAATTGTGTTCACATCAATCACTGGATTGTCTATCCTGACTGGATTATTTACAGGCTGTCATCAAATGGATGGAATGTAATCAAGAGCTGCATTAAACAGTAAAATAACCCATCAAGATCTACCTTTAATTGATTATGTATGTTTAGGTAATGTCTAGGTAATGTATTGTCAAAAGGTATGATTACAGAATTGGGTGTTTCAGTACAGACCTCCGTTAATTGATAGTCATTGTGATGTTTCAGTACTAGCGGCTAAGCCTCCGTTTAATGTTAGTCGGTGTGTTGTTTCAATACTAGCCTCCATTTAATGTTAGTCGATGTGATGTTTCTGTACTAGCCTCTGTTTAATGTTAGTCGATGTGATGTTTCAGTACTAGCCTCTGTTTAATGTTAGTCAAGGTGTTGTTTCAATGGTAGCCTCTGTTTAATGTAAGTCGATGTGATGTTCAGTACTAGCCTTTGTTTAATGTTAGTCGATGTGATGTTTCAGTACTAGCCTCCGTTTAATGTTAGTCGATGAGATGTTTCAGTACTAGCCTCTGTTTAATGTTAGTCAAGGTGTTGTTTCAGTACAAGCCTCCGTTTAATGTTAGTCGATGTGATGTTTCAGTAGTAGCCTCTGTTTAATGTTAGTCGATGTGATGTTTCAGTAGTAGCCTCTGTTTAATGTTAGTCGATGTGATGTTTCAGTCCTAGCCTCTGTTTAATGTTAGTCGATGTGATGTTTCAGTACTAGCCTTTGTTTAATGTTAGTCGATGTGATGTTTCAGTACTAGCCTCTGTTTAATGTTAGTCGGTGTGTTGTTTCAATACTAGCCTCCATTTAATGTTAGTCGATGTGATGTTTTAGTACTAGCCTTTGTTTAATGTTAGTCGATGTGATGTTTCAGTACTAGCCTCTGTTTAATGTTAGTCGATGTGATGTTTCAGTACTAGCCTCTGTTTAATGTTAGTCGATGTGATGTTTCAGTACTAGCCTCTGTTTAATGTTAGTCGATGTGATGTTTCAGTACTAGCCTTTGTTTAATGTTAGTCGATGTGATGTTTCAGTACTAGCCTTTGTTTAATGTTAGTCGATGTGATGTTTCAGTACTAGCCTCTGTTTAATGTTAGTCGATGTGATGTTTCAGTACTAGCCTCTGTTTAATGTTAGTCGAGGTGTTGTTTCAATAGTAGCCTCTGTTTAATGTTAGTCGATGTGATGTTCAGTACTAGCCTTTGTTTAATGTTAGTCGATGTGATGTTTCAGTACTAGCCTCCGTTTAATGTTAGTCGATGAGATGTTTCAGTACTAGCCTCCGTTTAATGTTAGTCGATGTGATGTTTCAGTACTAGCCTTTGTTTAATGTTAGTCGATGTGATGTTTCAGTACAAGCCTCCGTTTAATGTTAGTCGGTGTGTTGTTTCAGTACTAGCCTCTGTTTAATGTTAGTCGATGTGATGTTTCAGTACTAGCCTTTGTTTAATGTTAGTCGATGTGATGTTTCAGTACTAGCCTTTGTTTAATGTTAGTCGATGTGATGTTTCAGTACAAGCCTCCGTTTAATGTTAGTCGATGTGATGTTTCAGTACTAGCCTCCGTTTAATGTTAGTCGATGTGATGTTTCAGTACTAGCCTTTGTTTAATGTTAGTCGATGTGATGTTTTAGTACTAGCCTTTGTTTAATGTTAGTCGATGTGATGTTTCAGTACTAGCCTTTGTTTAATGTTAGTCGATGTGATGTTTCAGTACTAGCCTTTGTTTAATGTTAGTCGATGTGATGTTTCAGTACTAGCCTTTGTTTAATGTTAGTCGATGTGATGTTTCAGTACAAGCCTCCGTTTAATGTTAGTCGATGTGATGTTTCAGTACTAGCCTCCGTTTAATGTTAGTCGATGTGATGTTTCAGTACTAGCCTTTGTTTAATGTTAGTCGATGTGATGTTTTAGTACTAGCCTTTGTTTAATGTTAGTCGATGTGATGTTTCAGTACTAGCCTTTGTTTAATGTTAGTCGATGTGATGTTTCAGTACTAGCCTTTGTTTAATGTTAGTCGATGTGATGTTTTAGTACTAGCCTTTGTTTAATGTTAGTCGATGTGATGTTTTAGTACTAGCCTTTGTTTAATGTTAGTCGATGTGATGTTTCAGTACTAGCCTCTGTTTAATGTTAGTCGATGTGATGTTTCAGTACTAGCCTCTGTTTAATGTTAGTCGATGTGATGTTCAGTACTAGCCTCTGTTTAATGTTAGTCGATGTGATATTTCAGTATGGGCCAGTGTTTAGCTTCACCATGGTGGGAAAGACCTTCACATACCTCATTGGCTCCGAGTCGTCAGCGCTGTTCTTCAACAGCCGCAATGAAAACCTCAATGCCGAGGAAGTTTACAGTCGACTCACCACACCAGTGTTTGGTAAAGGTGTTGCCTACGATTGTTCTAATGCTGTAAGTTCTACTAATAGTTTATGCTGTCTTTTATGAGAAATGTCCTTTACTCCAATGATGACAATTTAATATTAAACATGTTTAATTAATGACTAAATATGTGAAATATTAGAAGAGACAAACTCATGGATTTTTACCTGAGCATTTACAAGTACACAGAGTACCCATTCAACTGATTCCCATTATGAACAAGTGTCGTTTAGTAATGTCGCAGTATTGTGGTTTTTGGATGTGGTCTTTAAATGTTGATAAAAAATCTGGATTGATAATCATGGATTGATATTATATTGTGAACAAGGCCAGACACTGTCGAACACAAGTCTGATTCCTGTCTTAGTTTGATTCATATCACTTGAAGAAAAATTCTCATTCAGCTGGTCAGTCAGGTCTTTGTATGTCTGTTTGAAATTGTATGGTTACCTTATGTTGTCAGAGGTTTCTGGAACAGAAGAAAATGTTTAAGACTGGACTGAATATTGCAAGGTTCAGGGAACACATCCCTATGATTGAAGAAGAGACCATCAAGTATTTCGAGAGATGGGGTGAAAAGGGGAGAGCATGGTAAGTGTTGAGTATAAAACATGGTGGGAAAGAGCTATTATTAGAGTGCTTGGATTATGGAAAATACGGAAATAAAATATGATTCAGGATTTACAATTAGGAATGAAATCATTCATTGAACATCATGGATGTCCTCAGATAAATGTATTGCGAATAGACAAAAGAAACTGTTCATTTCCATTTTTCAAAGAGAAGATTTGTTTCGAAGCAGTGTCCGAGAAAATATACTGTCTGACAAAAAAGTCCATCACACCAACATAAACTCATCAGGATAACAGCAAAACAGTTGTAAAAATGTTCTTAGTTCACTTTATTGAAAGTCTCTCATACATACCACACAAAAATATCCCTTATCTGCAGTAAGTGCAAAATTGACATACTTTATGGATAACAACTTCTTTATTACAAATATTATTATTGTTATTCATAAAGTTTGTCAATTTTGTACTTCCCAGCTTCTAAAATACCACTCAAAGAAGCTGCAGTAAGTGTCAGTAAAACTTGTAAACATTTTCCATTGACTGCTGTTATGGCTTTGTAGACAGGTATTTCATTCATTCCATGACCAGTGAATAGAAAAAGGCTTTAATATTTAGTTTAACATTATTACTTAAAATGTTTAAATTCGATGTTAAATTCAACCTCTGAAGTCAGGAACAAATGACAGTGAGAAATTTGAACATCATGAATAGTTTTGCATGTTACAGTGGTTACCAAGCTGCCTATTAATGTTTCAGATTTTTTCAAGGCTCTGTCAGAGCTGATCATATTGACTGCAAGCAGGTGTCTCCATGGTAAGTGTACAAACTTAAAAACTCAGAGAGATGACAGTGATTAGATTCTTCTGAAGTCTCCCATTGCTAGGACTGTGATTAAAAGTTATGCAAATAAGCTTTGGGTGGATTATGACTTGTGTGTTATTATGATTATCAGTTACTTCTATGGAATTTATGTTTTACATGCTTGATTGTTTTAAGCAATATGCTTCAGTTTTGGATTTAGATGTATCAATATTATTATCTTTGTGATGCTACCTTAGTTACAGGTCAAGTTAGGCCCTCCACCCAAAAAAATATGTCCGTTTCTGGTTATCCGACTGACCCTATCCTAAACCACCCACCCATGATGATCATAATGATGACTGTTCCAGGTGAGGAGATCAGATCTATCCTGGATGAGAAAGTGGCCCAGCTGTACTGGGACCTGGATGGAGGCTTCTCACATCTCGCCTGGCTTCTCCCAGGATGGCTGCCATTTCCAAGCTTCCGGTATGGACTTGAGACCCTGTCACCCTGGATTTTCTTGTTTTTGCTATTTTATTTTATGTGTTGTTGTATTTCTATTTATTTTTTTTGTTGTTTTTTTTTTTGGGGGCTCCATAGTGAAAAGTCCAGGGCCCACTTGCACAAAGCTTAGAGCTTAGAGCTAAGACCGGTATAAGTCTGTGTTAGAATATGGGAGTTACGATCATCATAGTGCTGAGATCGCTTTGTGCAAGTGGGCCCAGAAATGTGATGAAATCCATCTTTTGTATATTGGTTCCTAAATATTATATAATCTGTTGTGCATTTCACCTGGAGAAAATTATGTCACTTATTTACTTATATAGATGCTAGACTCACATGACATTGTCAACTTTCATGTCAGTTGTTTTTTCTCGTCGAATGCAGTCATCCTTTAGCATGTTTATTGTTGAAAATTGTGTCTATAATTCCAGTTGTTGCAGAAACACAGCACTGACTGTAACTTGTGCTTTTTAGGAAACGTGACCGGGCGCATATGGAGGTGAAAAAGATGTTCTACAAGGTGATCGAGGCCCGGCGCCAATCCAAGGAATCACATGACGATATGCTGCAGACTCTCATAGACTCCCCATACAAGTAAGCATGTAGGGCATCAAACTGAATCTGGTTCACAGAAGTTACACACTGCAAAGACAGAATCTGTCTGAACTCAAAGTGGGATTCCAAGACAGTATCCACTGGTTGCCATTTAGGGGATTCTGGGAAATATTGGTAACCAGTATCTGGTGTTCCTCTCCCAGTGGGGAGGGGCATTGGGTACCCCAATGGTTAAAGCGTCCGCTCATTACCGAAGACCCGGGTTTGATTCCCCACATGGGTACAATGTGTGAAGCCCATTTCTGGTGTCCCCCTCCGTGATATTGATGGGGTATTGCTAAAAGCGGCGTAAAACCATCCTCACTCACTCACTCACTCACTCACTCACTCACTCACTCACTCACTCACAGTGGTGATTCAAAGCTGTTAAGGTTGAACCATATTCCATATAACCATACCCGTGAAAATCTGGGTTAGAATTGATATTCAGTAACCCATGCTTATCGTAAGAGGCGACTAACAGGATTGGGTAGTCAGGCTCGCTGAATTGGTTGGCACATGTCATCATATCCCGATTGCATAGATTGCTGCTCATGCTGTTGATCACTTGATTGTCTGGTCAGGACTCGATTATATTACAGACCACCACCATATACCTGGAATATTGCTGAGTGCGGCATAAAACTAAACTCAGTCACTCACTCACTCGCCTATATACAAGGTATGGATAGTTTGTTTTTTCTCTGTGCAGAGACGGCAGCTACCCCACGAATGACGAGGTTGCCGGGATGTGCATCGGGCTGCTCCTGGCTGGCCAGCATACGTCCTCCACCACAACCGCCTGGCTCAGCTTCTTCCTGGCTAAAGACAAACAACTGCAGGTGAGGAGAATAGAATCGTTACTTGATGTCATCTACAAGTCAGTAGTCTCACAGGCCGGCATGGAGCCCAAGTCTGCAGTAGCTCTCTGCACAGAATTCCAAGTTGGATTTTCAAATTTACAATTTCATGTATTATACATACCGAAACAGAAACAGTTTTATGGTTTTGTAGAGGTGACTTGTATTTCTCTGATATGAGGACATTTACAGTTCAGAACACACATGGTAATAATCTGTTTTTTTAATCCAAATGTATTAAGGATATATTTGACTCATACTTACTGCCATAGGTTCCCTGCAGCTGGGGATGGCCTAAAAGTCGGGCCAAGAAAAGTCGGGCCGGGCCGGACCACCGGGTAATACTAAAAATGGATTGCAGAATATTAAAACGAAACCTGCACATTTGGGTCGATACACTTCCTGCCTTCACAAATGCATAGTTTGAAAATGTATAGTTAATGGTGAAAAAACCCACACAACAACAATGACTACATACCGAGATTCCCGTAGAAAAGACACCGTCTTGTTGTTATGTGTTTTCCTTGATATGTCTATGGGGGAAGGTTGCTTACTTCTCTTAGCGTGTGACATCCGGGGGTCCTGGGCAGGAAGTGACAGTGTTTTGACTGCTTTTCTTTCCTTAATTAAGATATTGGGGTTCCCTAATTAACCTTTATCGTCTCAGGCTGAATCAGCACAGGATGTTTATGTTAAAAGAGACGTGGATATCGGCGAGTGTCAATGGGCAAATATGACATGATTATGTATATTAAAAGAAAAGAAGTATTTGAAATCACAAACACAAAAATTCTTATGTGTTTTCATTGTAAACAATAGCCCAAATCAGATAGCCAGCGCGTATGCATATGCTTATTTTACTAATACACATGAAACACAATGGTATTATATCTACCTAAATACCACTTCATAAAGTAAAGTAAAAGTGAAGCCCCTTTCTCTCTCCATTCCCAACGATTTAGGAAAATAAAGTCCTCGGAAAACAAAATCCGCAATCAAAAGTGTTTAGTCTCTGTTCGGCCCGACTTGGCCCGTGCTGTCAAAAACAACTTAAACCTCACACGTGTATCTTGAAATGTGTATATATCCATAGATTAGTAATATATCTACCTACATATCACTTCACAGAGTCTCAAAGCGTAGTATTTGAAGCAAAAACGTTGCTGAAAGTGAAGCTCTCTTTTCTACATATTCTCAACAAAGACACAGTATCACAAGCGTTCGGTCCGCCTTGGCTCGGGATCTCAAAAACAACTTAAACCCCACACATATGTCCTGATTTGTGTTTAATTCCATAGATTAGTATTATATCTACCTAAATATCAATGTGTGATGTTACAAAATGCCACATGTAAAGAAAACTGCTCCGTTAAAGTGAAGCCCTTTTCTCTCTCCATTCACAACATAGCCTCAATCAAAAGTGTTTAGTATCTGTTCGGCCCGACTTGGCCCGGGCTGTCAAAAACAACTTAAACCTCACACATGTATCTGGAAATGTGTTAATATCCATAGATTAGTATTATATCTACGTACATATCACCTCACAGAGTCTCAAAGCGTAGTATTTGAAGCAAAAACGTTGCTGAAAGTGAAGCTATCTCTTCTACATATTCCAACAAAGACACTGTATCACAAGCGTTCGGTCCGGCTTGGCCCGGGCTCTCAAAAACAACTTAAACCCCACACATGTATTCTGATTTGTATTTGAATCCATAGATTAGTATTATATCTACCTAAATATCAATGTGTGATGTTACAAAATGCCACATGTAAAGAAAACTGGTTCGTTTAAGTGAAGCCCTTTTCTCTCTCCATTCTCAACATAGCCTCAATCAAAAGTGTTTAGTCTCTGTTCGGCCCGGCTTCGCCCGTGCTGTCAAAAACAACTTAAACCTCACACATGTATCTGGAAATGTGTTTATATCCATAGATTAGTGTTATATCTACCTACATATCACTTCACAGAGTCTCAAAGCGTAGTATTTGAAGCAAACACCTTGCTCAAAGTGAAGCCCTATTTTCTATACATTCTCAACAAAGACACAGTATCACAAGCTTTCGGTCTGGCTTGGCCCGGGCGCTCAAACGCACCTTATACCTCACATATGTATCTTGAAATGTGTTTAAACCCATAGATAAGTATTATATCTACCTAAATATCACTTTGTAATGTTATCAAATGCAACATGTAAAGATAACTGGTTCGTTAAAGTTAGCCCTTTTCTCTCTACATTCTCAACATAGCCTCAATCAAAAGTGTTTAGTCTCTGTTCAGCCCAACTTGGCCCGGGCTCTCAAAAACAACTTAAACCTCACACATGTATCCTGATTTGTGTTTTAACACATAGCTTGGTATTATCTACCTACATATCACTTCACAGAGTCTCAAAGCGTAGTATTTGAAGCACCTTGCTCAAAGTGAAGCCCTATTTTCTATACATTCTCAACAAAGACACAGTATCACAAGCTTTCGGTGCGGCTTGGCCCGGGCGCTCAAACGCACCTTATACCTCACAGATGTATCTTGAAATGTGTTTAAATCCATAGATTGGTATTATATCTACCTAAATATCACCTTGTAATGTTATCGAATGCAACATGTAAAGATCAGATGATTTGAAAATAGGCTGCTACTGCCCAGCTCGGCCAGTTTTATATGGATGCATTTGGAGAAAGTTAGGCGAGACACTGTGGATTTAATGAAAACATACTTCTCCCACTTCTCTCTCTAATACTTCTATTGTCTGTATGCGTGTTCAGGAAAACAGGATTATCAGAAACGCTTGAAGTTTACAACATCCGGCAACGGCATCTCCGAGTAACCTCTGGCAAAGCTCTCACAGTGAAAACAATGTTCTCCCGAGCCTGAGCTTGGCAACACAGTGTCATTGCCGTGGATGTGTTTTCATACTTTCGTATGTTCAAATTATATAACCATAACATCTCATACGGCAAGTCATTTTAGCTGATACCTTCTGATATTTATTAAATGACTGATATGTTCAAATCATGTCATGAATAGCTTCAACCGGCTATCTATATCTCTACTAGTATGAATTGATGTTTATACTGTGGAAACTGTACGGAGAACATCCTGTATTCTGAACCACTAAAAAAAACCCCACCTCTTTCAAGCATTTCATGTCATATAATTGGGTATAATATCTTCTGATATTTATTAAGTTAATTATATGTGTAAATCATATCACGAAAATAGCTTCAGTCTGCCATCTGTATCGGTATTAGTATTATACTCTGGAATATGTACGGAGAACATCCCATACGCAGCATAACACGAGTGGAAGCATAAATAATTCTATATATATAATTGAACACTGGGCTTCACTTTAAGCAACGTGTTAGATTCAAATACATGTACAAAGCTTTTAGCCTCAATAAAGAGGTATTTAGGTAGATATAATACCAATCTATTGCTTTAAACACATTTCAAGATTCATCTGAGAGGTTTAAGGTGCGTTTGAGAGCGCAGGCCAAGCCGGACCAAAAGCTTGTGATACTGTGTCTTTGTTGAGAATGTATAGAAAATAGGACTTCACTTTAAGCAACGTGTTTGCTTCAAATACAACGCTTTGAGACTCTATAAAGACGTTTATAGGTAGATATAATACTAATCTATGGATATTAACACATTTCCAGATACATGTGTGAGGTTTAGGTTGTTTTTGACAGCCCGGGCCAAGTCGGGCCGAACAGATACTAAACACTTTTGATTGAGGCTATGTTGTGAATGGAGAGAGAAAAGGGGCAGTTTTCTTTACATGTGGCATTTTGTAACATCACACGGTGATATTTAGGTAGATATAATACTAATCTATGGAATTAAACACAAATCAGGAGATATGTGTGGGGTTTAAGTTGTTTTTGAGAGCCCGGGCCAACCGGACCGAACGCTTGTGATACTGTGTCTTTGTTGAGAATATGTAGAAAAGAGAGCTTCATTTTCAGCAACGTTTTTGCTTCAAATACTACGCTTTGAGACTCTGTGAAGTGATATGTACGTAGATATAATATCAATCTATGGATATTAACCCATTTCCAGATACATGTGTGAGGTTTAAGTTGTTTTTGAGAGCCCGGGCCAAGTCGGGCTGAACAGAGACTAAACACTTTTGATTGAGGCTATGTTGAGAATGTAGAGAGAAAAGGGTTAACTTTAACGAACCAGTTATCTTTACATGTTGCATTTGATAACATTACAAAGTGATATTTAGGTAGATATAATACTAATCTATGGATTTAGACACATTTCAAGATACATCTGTGAGGTATAAGGTGCGTTTGAGCGCCTGGGCCAAGTCGGACCGAAAGCTTGTGATACTGTGTCTTTGTTGAGAATGTATAGAAAATAGGGCTTCACTTTGAGCAAGGTGTTTGCTTCAAATACTACGCTTTGAGACTCTGTGAAGTGATATGTAGGTAGATATAACACTAATCTATGGATATAAACACATTTCCAGATACATGTGTGAGGTTTAAGTTGTTTTTGACAGCACGGGCCAAGTCGGGCTGAACAGCGACTAAACACTTTTGATTGAGGCTATGTTGAGAATGGAGAGAGAAAAGGGCTAACTTTAACGAACCAGTTATCTGTACATGTTGTATTTGATAACATTACAAAGTGATATTTAGGTAGATATAGTACTAATCTATGGATTTAAACACATTTCAAGATACATCTGTGAGCGATAAGGTGCGTTTGAGCGCCTGGGCCAAGCCGGACCGAAAGCTTGTGATACTGTGTCTTTGTTGAGAATGTATAGAAAATAGGGCTTCACTTTGAGCAAGGTGCTTCAAATACTACGCTTTGAGACTCTGTGAGGTGATATGTACGTAGATATAATACTAATCTATGGATTTAAACACACTTCAGGATACATGTGTGAGGTTTAAGTTGTTTTGACAGCACGGGCCAAGTCGGTTTGAGCAAGTTGTTTTTGACAGCACGGGCCAAGTCGGGCTGAACAGAGACTAAACACTTTTGATTGAGGCTATGTTGAAAAATGAGAGACAAGGGCTTCACTCTAACGGAGCAGTTATCTTTACATGTTGCATTTTATAACATTACAAAGCGATATTTAGGTAGATATAATACCAGTCTATGGAATTAAACACAATTCAAGATACGTGTGTTACGTTTAAGTTGCTTTTGACGGCTCGAGCCAAGCCGGGCGGAAAATTGTGGCCGAGATAATGTTGAGAGTGTGGGGAAGAGATCGTATCATTTAAATGTGGGCATGCTTTTAACACGATGAATAGTGAATTTATGGGGTGGTATGTGATTGGATATAGATGTAAAAACATTTTCGGGCCAACGGAAATGTGTATCGGAATTGGCTGAAATATTTATACGTTTTAAATCCCGTTTCGTTTAACGATTCCACTTTTAGACGTAACCTCGGTCAGCCAGTTCACAGGCCTCTCGTCTTCCTGGATTTTAGCCGATTTACTCGTAATAAAGTTATTATGGTACGCGTTTGTGGCTTCCGATTGATCATTATTATCATGAGTGTATGTTGAATTGATTAATTATAGGCATGGTTGTCGTTAATGGGTTTATTAGCCAATAATAGATTTGGCCCGCCTTGGCCCGGCCCGGCCCGACTTTTAGGCCATCATGGATGGTTATTCTGATAAGCTTTGGTCTTTCAGAATCGTGTTTATGAGGAACAGAAGAAGGAGTGTGGTGAAGATTTACCTCCCCTGACTTACGAGGACACTAAAAACCTTCAGTTGTTGGACCGATGTCTGAAGGAAACACTCCGACTCCGACCACCCATTATGACCATGATGAGGATGTGCAAATCACCGCAGGTTAGAACCAGTAGCTACGTTAATTACACACACCCTCCCAAAAATCCCCAAAACAACAATGGTATGAGGCGGAATACTGAAACGGGCTCATTGGCTCCTTCCATCAGTTTAGCTGTTTTGGGAACATAACTCATATAACTTTGCACCAACGGTATAGTGATTTGAAAGATTCATATAATGGTTCATTTACATTCTGAAGTTGTGCCCAGGATGCAAAATGTTATGTCCAATGTCAGAGCTGTCAACCCCTAAAGATGGTTTGGAGTGAGACTGAAAAATATAAGCCGGGGTCCAGCTGGGGTCATGTTGAGGGCGACACCCGGGTGGGGGGTCTCTGGGGGGCAAATGAAAAATGAAGTTTAGTGATTTTCAGGAGCATTTGGAGCCTTCTGGTGGCATTATTTTGACATTAAAAGATGCATGCTAATAAATAATAATAAGCCGAATCATTCGCATAAACATCGTTTTAGTACTTCGTTCATTCAGGCTATCTTTCAATGTTCAACTTTACGCAAAAACGAACGAAAATGCGTATTAATTTTGAAATTATGTTTGGCTACCAGATATGTGTGAGATTATTATTTGGAGGCGTGACATTTGTCAATAAGCGTGTGACTCATGCCAAATGCGTGAGAGTTGACAGGTATGCAATGTCCTAATAGACAGATATATTTGTCTGTCAAATGGTTTCCGGAGGAAAGAATATTCATATGAGAAATATTACAGAAATACCTTTTGGAAATAATATCCTTGGAAAAAATGTCCCCTTGAAAGTTTTACTGAGGATGTTACTTCCCATCAAAAGTGTCTTCAGGGACTGATAAATATCCTGTTACATAAGATTTATCTGATATTTCTATTTTGATAAAACATACAATCACTTAGTTGACAGTTCATGTCAGATTTCATGCAGCATGTTCAATCTGCACATGCAGACAAGGATATCCCCATCTGTCTATTGCATACAGTTTCACATATTCTTTGTATTTCCTTTTTCTATGGTACTGTAGACACAAAAGAATCCAATTTGTATTCCTTGAACATTTGTGTTTTTAGTACCGATGTCATGCAAATGTTTAAAGCAAGCCAAATTTGTTAAGCTTCAAGAACTGGAAGCAACATGAAAACTAATTGTGAAGGTTTTCTCTAAGTAGTATTTGATATGTTATTTTTTTCAGAATATTCTTGGTTTCACAATCCCCCCAGGCCACCAAATCTGTGTCTCCCCAACAACCAATCACAAGCTCCCCGATACCTGGACAGACTTCAGTGTCTACGACCCAGACAGGTACGTCAAGAAGAAGTGTCTTCTCCACGGTTACCATGGTTAAATAGAGCTGACAATCCAGATTGGACAGAAATGAGATGTATTGGTAATCAGTGCCTCAAGTACATAGTATCAGATAGATTTAGTGGCAAATATAGCTGAGAATAGAATTTAGCACAAGCCATTATCATGATTCAGTATGTCAAGGTATCCAGAAGGACAGAAGAATATAGTGTTTTGGTGGTTTTAATGTCCTAATGTGTTGTCACTGTTCAGTCTTGTAAATGTTTCAGGTTCATTCTCTGGTTGTTTTTCTCTGACACACATTATAACTGTAAGACTATTTGAGAGTCACACCTCTTTTCCTTATTTTACGGACTCATCATAGTCAGGCTAAGGAAATGGGTAAGGGAGGTAACTCATACTGCCATATTGGTGTTTTTGCCCAACCAACATTGAGGTTAGTTTGTTACTTCCATTCTGATTGGTACTTTTAACCATCTAGTGTAGCAAATCAGCGTGACTTATGAAAATCTAATCGGGTTTGGGATTTGAGACCACGAGAACCACAAATGGATCCAAGGGTTATTGTAGGCGTACTGAAATGTGAGCCCTGGTGATCAAGAGGATGAATATCAGGAATAACTCAGGACAGATTTGTAGACATGCTATTTTCTTAGTTGCTTGATATTGATAATATCTGAAAGTTATTGTGTGGATTATGTGCATCCCCTTCCAAACAGCTGTGATATTTTGTATGTGGGTTGGGTTTGGGGGTTGAGTTGGAGTGCTGATTATACACCAGAAAGTATTATTTTTTCCCATTTTGTCAGTCAATGGAACTTAATTTAGAATTCAGGTAAATCCCCCCTAGAACTCTTGATATTAATGGAACAACTTGTTGACAGATTCCTGGACCCTGATGTTGCTAACAGTGAGAAGTTTGCCTACATTCCCTTCGGCGCTGGCCGACATCGTTGTATTGGGGAATCCTTTGCGTATGTCCAGATCAAGACGATCCTGTCCACTGTTCTCCGCAAGTATGAACTTGACCTTGTGGATGGTTACTTCCCTGAGATAGACTTCTCCACGATGATCCACACACCCAAGAACCCTGTCATCAGATACAAGCTGAGGAGGACATAATGGCTTGACCGCTGTGTTCTTGTGATGTGTGTCTGTGATCTTGTCGAAACTTCTACGTATCAGTGTGTTGACAAGTGGGTCCAGTGTGACCTCATTGAACATCCTGGAGATGCAGTCAGTATTTGTTCTTGAAGTTTAAAAAACATGTATTCTACTCAAAAGAAGTTAGGGAACACACAAGATGTTCAGTTGGCTCTAGTCTGTGGTCTCTATATGGCATCATTCTGTATTTACTTGACATGGAACCAACGATATGATACTGTCAAACACCCTTGAGTTAAACTTTGATTTGTTGAACTCCCAGTTATCTTAAATTGAAAGCTTAGTTTCAGCGTATTCCTTCTTGTCAAACCTTGGACTTGAAATATTTACGTACGTTCCTTCAACTTCAACAGTGTGTGACATCTTTGACATGTCTATAGCAATCTTTAAATGGAAATATGTTCCTATGAAGCAAAATGTGTATATAATCATGTTAATGGTCTCAAACTCCACATCAAAACAATGCTGCACTTGTAATACAGAAGTTGAATGTCTGTGCTATAAATTAAGATTATATACAATAATGTTTTGCTCAACAAACCCCCAACAAAGCTCTTCACAACACACAAGTAGACTGTAAACAGACCATATAACCTTTTGGGGCTTATCTAAGTGGACCTAATGTTTTTTCTACTAGACTCTGGCTTCAGACAAGTGTACAAAGTTGCCTGAAGATATTTCTAGCAAGTCGAGTGCTGGTCACAAGTGCCGACCTTGTTTTAGGACTGATGCACATTAGTGGTGGTCCGATTATTTGAAATAATCGAAGATTGGTCGCAGTGACTAAACGACCAAGCAATCGTTCATGTTTTCTCATAATTGAACACAAACAATTCTGGAACACTTGTTTGCATTAACAATATTGTTTTACAAGGTTGGTTTTGTCTGTTACATTTCATGACCACTACAAGCTCGTTCGAAGTTATGGTTTGGATTTATCTTCAAGACTCCAAGATATTAATGTTCCTAACCTACTGGTCATCCTTTAAAGATGTGAAATTTGCCAATGCCTTTTGTGCAATTTGCAAAAACACCAAAGAACTACAGTTTTTTTTATTTTATTTTTTTGTCCATTAACAAAAATAATCAGGAAAATTTCATAAAAGACGCTAACCAATTATTTTCGATGATTGATCGGTTGTAATGAACCAATCATCAATTATGAGATTTTGACCAATTCCAAGCACTAATGCACATAGTGTTTTTGATGATCTCTTCCACCGATGTGCAAAAAACTTGATTATTTATAGGATGCTGTGATACAAGTGGAAACTTGATGCCATCATGTAGCTGAGATGCTGCTGAGTGTGGCTTTAAACGACCAGTGAGACATAAAGATGACAAGTTAGGGTTGTGGGAGGGAGGGGAGTGCTGTCTCGTCGCCCACATAAACCACATACCTGAAGTGTGAGCAGGTGTAGTGAAACTGTTAGTCAGGTATCATTTTCAAGAATTTTTGAAAAATTGATACACAACTCTGTATAAAAGGTAGATAATATATAGAAACAGTACAGTTTGCATGACTTTCCCCAAACAGCAAGACTGTTCAAAAAGAGGTTTTGCTGTATGTAAGCTTAGACTAACATAGTCTCAGATAATTTGTATAATTTTGCTAGAAACACCGAACACACCATTCAAATTGAAAAGGAGCTCCAGTGACTTGTGAGCTTCACAACCTGAGGAAAACTGAAACTTGCTTCATTAAAGACTACAGAAAGGGCTGGGTGAAAATAAATATGGTTTAGGTACTTTGAGACAAACTGTATGTGAAATCAGTGGCCAATTCTTAAAGTAAAAGATGAATGTTTTGGTGAAAGACATTGACAGTTGCCCTGGCTGGTTTTGTGAAAGAATATGGACGTTGCCCTGGATGGGTGGATGATTCAGAGGACCTGAGAGGTAATACATTGTATAAGAAGTATGTGCCCATTTCAAGCCATAACAGGACAGGAAAAGGAAGAAGTTGTGTAAGCCATGCTGGGCTTTATTTCAATCCATCTGTTTCAATATTTTGCTCACAGTTCTGTATGTCTGTGTATATCTTGTCTCACATGTGTGTATGATAATGTTAATGAATGATAATCCTGAAATCAAAATAAGTTATTGTGTAAATATATAATAAACTTACGAATTTAAAAACTATTCGTGTTCTAGCAATATGTTCATAGTTAAAATCATCGGTTATCACCTGCCCACATGTACCTTAGTTGAACTACTGATCTCCTGCCTCATTAAAACCAGATCATTTTCTCAGATGCAATACATCCCTGCATGAGTGAGTAAGTTAATATGTAAAGTCACATCGGCAGTATTTCAGCCATATCGTGACTAGGAAAGCTTTGTATTGTAAAAAAAACGAACTTAAACAATATATACCTGTCAACAAGTGGAAATTAAAAAACTGGAACATCACAGATTTACATGTAACACATATCCTACCACGTGGTAGTTCTAAATCTACTTTGAATGTGACTGCATGAAGACTAGACACCCAAGTAGTAGCAGTTCCGGGAACCTTCTAATCAGCCAAACTGCATCGTGGTTTCTGTGACCAGCATATCTGATAGCTTTTTCTTAACGAACTGGCTGGTGAGGTAGCCTAGTGGTTAAAGCATTCGCTCGTCACGCCGAAGGCCCAGGTTCGATTCCCAACATGGGTAAAAAAACAACTACAATGTGTGAAGCCCATTTCTTGTGTCCACCGCAGTGATATTGCTGGAATGTTGCTAAAAGCAGCGTAAAACTAAACTCACTCACTCATCTTAACGACCAGTTCTGAATGGACAAACAAGGCTGTGATAGTATATGATAGGGGATAGTTTATAGTCCTTATCGTTTACAATTGAAATGGCATTTACACCCCTACAGGAGTATCACAGGTATAATGTTTGAAGATCCGGGTTAGAATTTGTCTTCAGCAATCCATGAGTGTAAGAGGCGAAAACCGGTCAGGCTCGTTGACTTGGTTGACACATGTCATCGTATCCCAATTGCGTAGATCGATGCTCATGTTGTCTTAAACTAACACTTAGTCTCTGAATATATATAATTTTGATTGTAACAAATAAACCCATTTAAATGAAAAGGAGCCCAGGGGAGACCAGAGATGGAACCTCGGGAAATCTAGACTTGCTTCATTTAGGGCTTTAGCATTGCAGGGAAGGCTAGGCTGTAGGGAAATAATGTGTTTCAGGGACTGTGAGACAGACTGATGATGTCTGTATGATCACTGGACTGTATGGTCTACTACCTGTGTAGATCCGGTTTAGAATGAACCTTCAGTACCCATGCTTGTCGTAAGAGGCGACTAACGGGATCGGGTGGTCAGGCTCGCTGGCTTGGTTGACACATGTCATCGGTTCCCAATTGCGCAGATCGATGCTCATGCTGTTTATCACCGGATTGTCTGGTCCAGACTCGATTATTTATAGACCGCCGCCATATAGCTGGAATATTGCTGAGTGCGGCGTGAAACTAAACTCGCTCACTCAGTATGGTCTACTCGTCAAGTGAGAGGCGTCATCGACAGTTTTAAGTTTAATTCAGTCTCTCACTTAACCAGTAGACCGTACAGTCCATTAACACCAAGTGCTAAGAAATGATCCATAGAATCATGAATATTTCATATCAACACGAATGATGGGCTACATTGGACAGCATATTATTATCATCAAGTCGCTCACGGAATGCAATACTAAAAGGCACACTGTAGTTTCCAGGTATTATTTGCACAATTTCCCGAAGAGATATTCCTGTTTGCAGCCTCTCTTTGAAACTAATCGGATACAATAAATCTGTTTGTGAGAATTGTCCTCCTGAAATTGTTATCGATCTGCCCAGTGGTAAACGAAAGTACATTTGAACCCGGCACTAGGTACGTGCTGCCACGAGTTACGACTTGGTAATCGATCAATTCCCCGCCCTTAGTCTTTGAACTCTCCCCTTTAGTAAATATCCGTTTACGCGGCCGTCAGTATTTCACCCCTGCGTTTTCAACACTGAGAAAAGTATGGAATCCTAGAAAGGTCATTGTCGCCTTGTCGCCTTACAAAAACAGGCAAAAAATGGCAAAATTAACCAAAGTGAGAAGTGGCGACAGTGCAAGAAATGACCAAAATGTCGCGTTGTCGATTTATCGCACTTTGATTGATTTTGCCAGTTTTTGCTTGTATTTGTGGGGGCGACAATGGATCAACGCGACAATGTCCCTTCTAGGACCCCATACAATAGACAAGGGGAACGCCCACAATGTAAGCTTATCTTAAATGGGGTCCATATCAGGTGTATTGGAGAAATTCGTCACTTTCATAACTTTAAGCTTGTATACTGACGTCGTTGTTTATATTGTTAGACATCATGGAGGAGTCGGGTTAACTGACAATAATTCATCTATATTGCTTGCAAGACATGTGTATATAGAAATCCACTATGTTAGATTGGGTACATTGAAAAGGCGCTGACAAAGTGAGTGAGTGAGTTTGGTTTTACGCCGCTTTTAGCAATATTCCAGCTGAGCAATATCACGGCAGGGGACATCAGAAATGGGCTTCACACATTGTACCCATGTGGGAATCGAACCCGGGTCTTCGGCGTGACGAACGAACGCTTTAACCACTGGGCTACTCCATCGCACGCACTGACAAAGAATCGATGGTTCGAACACCCGACAAACGGATCCGCGCAGTAAAGGGAAGCAACTCTGACTGTGTCTTCCTGAACCGCTGATACTGATACACTAACGCTTTGACTCTGAGAATACAGGATTTTGATAGAAACAAGCAAATACATTTAATCTCCCCAGTTGGAGATTTGTGGAAATGTGGACGTGCTTAATTTAGGGCTATAGCGTCACAGTAAAGGTAGATGGAAAATAATATGCTCCAGGGAGTGTGCAAGCCGTGTGTGCTAGCATTCCCCAGCGTGAGATCAGGACACTCATTTCGTCCATTGGTGGATGGTGACAGACCTAGACAAACACTTAGTCTCTGAATACATATAATTTTGATAGAAACAAATATCTCGTTTTAAAGTGAAAAGAAGCCCGAGTGAGTCGACCTGTAGAAATGTAGACTTGCTTCATTTAGGGTTTCAGCATTGCAGAAAGGGCTGGGCAGAAGGGTAAATAATGTGGTTCAGGAACTGAGACAGACCGTACAATTAGCGCTAATGGCTTGCTCACAATGCATTACGTTGCTGTGACTCTGTCCTGGGATTGTCGCCATCGTGGGGATTCCGGCTTGGAATTGATCCCCATCAACCTCAGATTATCATTCGAGTCCACTCAATGGATCTGGTGGTCAAGGCCTGTTGGACTTATTTCGCAAGAACCTATTGTTGTAAAGCAGCTGAGCGTGTTGATTGGGTAGCGATGGCAGACAGCGGGGATCGCATTTTAGTTAGCTTTACAGCGGGGTTTA